CTGGGAGCAGTCTGCCGACATCCCTGATGAGGACACCAGCCTGACTGTCTTCAACCGCGGCAACGTGATGCCTTCCACCAAGATCCTTACCTTCTACCGCAAGCAGCCTTTCGATCTCGAGGCCCGCTACGCCAAGCCCGAGATGCTGCCCGGCAAGGTCAACCCCTGGGTTGGCCGCTTCTCCGTCAAGGGTGTCAAGGCTGATGCCAACGACGACTTCATGATCTGCAAGCTCAAGGCCCGTCTGAACCTGCACGGTATCCTCAACCTGGAGTCCGGTTACTACGTTGAGGACATGGAAGTCGAGGAGCCCGTTCCCGAGGAGGGTGATGTGAGTGATAACCCTCAGTTCAATTTCGCGAGATGTTCCGATTACTGACGACTATTTAGGCCATGGACACCGATGGCAAGGACGGTGAGCAGCCCAAGAAGACTCGCAAGGTCAAGAAGCAGGTCCGCAAGGGTGACCTGCCCATCTCGACCGGCACTACTTCCACCGATGAGTCCGTCCTGAACGCCTGGACTGAGCGTGAGAACTCCATGTACATGGAGGACAAGCTCATTGCCGAGACCGACGAGAAGAAGAACGAGCTCGAGTCCAGCATCTACGAGCTGCGTGACAAGATTGACGGCGTCTACTCCGAGTTCGCCAACGAGGAGGAGAAGGACAAGCTGCGGGCTAAGCTGACCGACACCGAGGTAAGTCTTCACAACGTTCGTTCCATTTTTCGCTTTACAAAGGCTGACGAGTTGTTCAGGACTGGCTCTACGAGGAGGGTGAGGACACCACTAAGTCGGTCTACGTGGCCAAGATGGACGAGATCCGCTTCGTCGCCGGTCCCATCATCCAGCGCTACCGCGAGAAGCAGGAGGCTGAGCGCCAGGCCCAGGAGGAGGCCGCCGCCAAGAAGCGTGCCGAAGAAGAGGCCAAGCGTAAGGCCGAGGAGGAGGCCAAGAAGGCCGAAGAGGAGGCTAAGAAGGCCGAGGAGAAGCCCGACGCTGAGATGAAGGACGCTCCCGCCGAGGGCGAGAAGCCCGCTGAGCAGTAAATTTGCTCGATTGGTAGATAACGGTGAGCCCAGCTGTGGGATCGCAGCTTGATGACAATGTGGTCACGAACAATGCAATCATGTTGAACCCCTTCAGTTGTTTATTACGGATTTCTTTTATTATTCTTTTTTTCTCCCGTTCCCCTTTACTTTATTCTGGCCGAGTGCCGGCACTGTGATGTAGAACGACATGATTTCCCCTTTCAGTACTTGCTTTTCCTCTCCGCGTTTGTTTGTGGTCGACCTGGAGATGCTGGCCTGGTCAAACGGCGGGAGCAAACTGGCAGGGGCACAAAAACTACTAGAGATTGCGCCATGGCGATGTGGATAGACCTGCTTGAAAAGTATATGATTGGTAATACAGAATATAGTATCCTTGCACATGCAGATTGGTTTATTTTCTTTCACATGGTGCTTCTTAGTGTTACACAGTATGGGCCCAGTAAAGTTGAAATCGCTGCCAATATAGTTGTTACTACTATTGTAAGTGGGAGCGCCACGTATACGTCGACAGTGGTACACCAGTCCAATTTACCCGACTTCTTCCCAATGAAGGTGTATAGATTACTGCCACTCCCCAATCTCAAATCATTGTGAATACTACTGAATAACATAATGCCTCCCACCAATACTATATACACCGAGTGAAACTGCTATCAGCACAATTCATACCTTTAAGCACATCACCAAACACACCCTCCCCAGCAAGATCATGCATCAAATCCACCCACAAAAACCTTTTCATGATCTCTCGCAACTCTCCCCACGTCCTGATCCCCACTCTCTCCAACCATTCCCGCAAACACCCTCTCAACCAGAGATCCGTCCCCTGAAATGCTGGCAGCGGCGGCAATGCAAGGATCCCGACCATTAATAGCCAGAGAATGAGCTCCGGGGAATCCTCCCCAGCATCGTCAGGATGTTGCTGGCATTGTTCCATGAACGACAAGAGATGAGGTTGATACGAAGCAGGGAAGAATACAAAAGGCAGTGTCTTGTCTTGCCACTGGAGGAAGGTATGATGGCAGAAGGTGAGGAGACCTAGACGGAAGGTTTCGTTGTTGCTGTTCGGGGGGAAGGGCATTTGAAGAAGACGGTACATTACGGAGGAGAGAGTAGAGGGCATGATATCTGGGGTAAGGCGGCGTTGGGGGGTCTCGGTGATGCTTGTGTTGATTAGGGTGCAGAAGTTTTGGAGGACGTGGAAGGTTGTCTTTAGGGTTGGGTCTAGGTGGAGTTGGGGGTTGTTGGTTTGGCTAGGGGTTGGGTTGAAGATGGTAGGGAATGGGGTTAGTGGTTCGAGGAAGGTGTCTCGGAAGAATATGGGTGTGGTGTTGTTTTGGAGGGCGAGGCCTAGGTCCCATCTGGTGATTGTCGATCAGCTTGATAGGTTGAATGTTACAGGGAGGTAAGCGGCTTGCTTACCTGAACAGCTCGATGAGGATTTTCTGGCTCTCGAATAAGCGCAGACCACCCCGAAGATCCATGATTGTTCGAATTCCCTCCATATGTTTCTGTGCGACCTCGGATTCGCCCATCAAATGCGCTGTCATGGCCAACATCAGCACAGTGCGTACGGTGAAATCGGAGATTTTGGTCCGGAGATCGACGCTCGTTAGTCTCTCGCGGAGGATCTGCACGCCCTTTGTAAAATGGAGCATGGTCCTGCGATTGGAAAGTAGTTCGTCAGAATGTTGTCGACCATGGACTGAGCCCATGAAGACTTCCGATGCGCATACGGTGAGATGCAGATAGGCGGCATCGGAACGGATGGAGTCGTGGAACCAGGATTTATCCCTATAGTCGAATTCAATCAGGAATCCCAATGGGAAGAACATTTGCATTGATAGTTTGGCGACTACATGGTATTCGCGTTAGCTACGCAAATGAAAGAGTGGGTTAGTGTAGGGAAGACCTACATTGTAGTATATCAGCGAAGGTACGGGAATCCACTTGGACGGCGATTTGAGCAAACGATGGATCAGGCCCCACTACTAGTCTACTAGCCGATGGGATGTTGGGGTCCTGATATACTTCTGCTGATTGTGGCGATGGAATCTGATCCTGTTGTATGGGGTAGAGCTTTTTCCGTCGGTCGTATCGAGGCCGCCCTTTGTTTATGCCTTGCATTACATGGCTTCGGATGAGTCGACGGGTGCTTCTGTCGGGCTTTTTGTTATCCGTCGATATGATAAAGTGCATAATTGGGTTAAGATAGCGCAGGTTGTATGCGCGATTTAGTAGAACCCAGAACAGGGAGCACGGTCGAGATGCTGAGCGATGGTTTGAAATCACGGAATTAGAGTAGGATGATATACGGAGTCTTGATATCATTTACCCGAACAGGAACTTGAAGAGGGTGAAGGGGGGATTTTTATGGTTGGTTTGTCAGCTGGTGATGCTGACAGGAACCGATGGCGTGTCGCTGCTTCCAATATCATTTGCCAATTCCGGTATAGTCACGGCCTTGGTATACTTCCCGCTGGATTCACTCGGTGACAGCATCTTGACTATATTATTATCCTTCTTTGGTCAAAGTTGGAAATAAGATAAATACCCCCTGAACATGACTCCCATGGTGAGTTTCTCTTCTTCCTCTAACTACCAGTCAAGCCTGACTCATTTTCACTCCTTCAGAATCCGCACCATGTCCACAGACCGAAAGACCGTCCTCATCACAGGCTGCTCCGATGGAGGCATCGGAGCTGCACTGGCTGAGACCTTTCACGATCACCGTTACCATGTCTTTGCCACTGTGCGCACCCCGTCAAAGGCCCCCAAATCACTCACCATCTCTCCCAACGCTACCATCCTCACCTTGGATGTGCTGGATTCGAGTTCCATCGCCAATGCAGTGGAGAAGGTGACCAAAGTCACTGGCGGCAAGCTTGACGTTCTGGTAAACAATAGTGGAGGCAGCATCATCCTCCCCGCCATGGATACCTCAATCGAGGAGGGCAAAAAGCTATTCGACTTGAACTTCTGGGCGCCTTTCGCCGTAACGCAGGCCTTCGCTCCTCTACTGATCAGGTCCAAAGGGTGTGTTGTGAACAACACATCAGTGAATGGAGCTCTTCCGTTTGTCTTTATGAGTAAGTCCAACCCTCCTCTTTAGTCACAGACATGGCATCCTCTGACTAATGTACCTTATTCAAGGCATGTACAATTCCTCGAAAGCGGCCTTTATGAGTGCCAGCGAGACTTGGCGTATGGAGCTGGCTCCGTTGGGTGTTCGCACCATCACTCTCATGACTGGTGGTGTGAAGACTAAGTTCTTCGACAATTACGTTCAACGCCAAGTCCCAGAGACCTCATATTACATCGGAGCAAAGGATGCTATTCAGAAAATGGGAGATGGAAGCTTGCAAGATAGCGGCGTTGATAGGTACGCATATGCATCTAAGGTGGTTCAGGCAGTGGAGAGGAGGGCGTCAGGAAAGCTGTGGGTTGGTGGAGGCGCTGTCCCTGCGAAATGGGCATTGTGGCTATTGCCGCAATGGGGTGTGGTAAGTATCCTTTGATTGCTTGTTGCAGAGTATCTACTTAGCATCGATAATGTGCTAATTGCTTTGATAGGATTTGATGATGAGGAAAATGTTTCCTGTGTTCGAGACAATCGGAGGTGGACTAAAGAAAGACGCTTAGAGTTGTGATATAGCTGCGCAACAGTCGTGACTGCGACTGCGTAACAGGGGTTGCAAAGTGGCCTTACTGGTATTTTCAGCGTAATATTTGTGCCGGTTTTCAGCATGTCAATTTCAGCATCTTGGTGCCATTTATATACTAGTTGTCTTTTAGCCTATTCAATCACGGAGTCACCTGACGAGCTTGTGAGGTCCTCCCTATTTGCATCCAGTAATCCATCGCTTCTGACCAGCCTTGCTGTCTTTGAGCAAAATTCATTATATACAACAGCTCTCGTTCACTATCTCTTTTTCTCGCCAGCCAAAGGCCATTGTTCAAAACAGACTACACATCCATGAGGAAGCCTAGCTAAGCCCAACTAGCACCCCATTCTCGTTCTCAAAAGTCATGCTAATCCGTTCCGTCCACGGCTTAGTATTATAATCCGACACGGTCGAGAAGGTTTGGAAAATACGGGCCACAATGTACGTGAGAACAATCATAGCATAATGCTCTGCTCTTGTGTTAGCGAGTGCATCCTGGGAATCACCATAACTGAAGGGGAACTTACGGCCGGGGCAGATTCTAGGACCCTTGTTGAACGGAATATAGCCAGCCATATCTCCACTTAGTTGTTCCCATCGTTCTGGACGAAACTCCCCAGGATCCTCACCAAAATCCTGCCCTAAGCGATGCCTAGCCCAGGTGGAAAAAACCACAATGTCTCCTTCCATGATAAGAATCGGCGCGTCATCATGAGCCCCACCTCCAGTTGGCAAGATTGAATTCTTGTTTGCCACTCTCGCGTTCAAAACAACTGGGGGAAACAGTCTCATCGCTGGCATATTATGTTAGTGGATAGTAGAACTCAGATGGCCAAAAGAGGTGTCGAACCTTCTTGAAGGACCCAGCGGACATAATGCAGTGTCCCGAGCTGTCCCCATGTTGGGGGGTTTGATCCAATGGTGTCGATGATGCTTGCTCGCAGCTTATGCACCACGCGCTCGTTCTGGGCAAGGCAATAGAAAAGTCCCGAGAGTGTCGTGCTCATGCTGTCATTTGCGAGTAGGATACTTAAAGCTTGATCAGCAAGCTGTGGTGCTTCATCTATATCAAGTTGTGATTTGAGCATAGACCACTGTTTTACCTCCTTGTCTGCTCCGTCTTGTCTTTCCAATCCTCTAATAACGCAGGTCATCACATATTCTCGTGCTTTCTTGCAAGCCTTTAGAAAGCTTCGCCTGGGCACCAAGTGTCGAAGCGGGCCACGGAAACCATCTTGCACGATTCTATTCTTAACAAGAAGAAGATCCTCGAAAAATTGCTTCTTCTCTCGAGATTGGGTGAAGCTGAGAGCATCAACGGACTCTCCTAAAGAGAACAAGGTCTGCATGTCTAGAGACAGATTAAATGCACAGGACTGAATATCGAAGGATTGTCCATCCGGAGGGACGTGCTGAAGAAAAGCTTGGAAGTGCTGCTCACACAGGCTAAGATCAATGGCCTTGCGAAGGTTAGAGAGCCGACTTCGCAGCTGTTCCCGGCTTGTCTTCCAGCCCGCACCGTCGAGGGTGAATATTCCATGTGGTGTGATTGGCTCAAACAAAGGCCTTCGCAACGGAGAACTATCGAAGTCGACAAATGCCGTGGAAAGCAGATGCTTGATATTGGTCGCGTTGCAGGTGAATAGCAGCCGAAATCCTAAGACATTGGAGACATAAGTCTCCCCATACCTCTCGAAGAGTGCATTTGTGTACGAGAGAGACGTTCGGCGGCGAAAATGGTATGCTAACTCGATTGACTTGGCGATTCCGAAGATGTCATACCAAAAGCGGTCGCTTTCGTTGGGCGGCTTCTGGCAGCCATGAAGTTGTTCGAAACGTCGCAATCTTCGGCTCCGGTAGTATTTAGTTACCAAGAGGGTAATCGTGACACCAAGAGCAACCACAGCCAAAGCCAGGCGAAAATTACCTGGGTAGGAGAGTCTGGGTAGCAGGAGTGCTGTCATGTTTGAAACGGTCTCTTGGGCATCCTGCATGGTGACAAAGCAAGGACAAAGCAGTGCCCATATGCTGACAGACGACAGTTACCCTAGGTAATAGTAAGTCATGCTCATATGACTAGCCTATCAAGGGACTGAATATTGCATGTGAGCAGGCCTGGGTTCCTTAACGAAGGTAGTCATCAGGGGGGACAAGGAGGGCGAAAAAGGGAAGCTGCGCCCTAATATGCGACCCACCAATTTCCATGCTACTAGGATGCGCTAAACATGCTCGACTATTATAAATTCGCATATTGTCTCCTTACCGCAGGTCTAGAGATCTGATATGGATCATTTCTTCATGCTGTCTCACAGGTTTTCATTTGCTACTACGACTACGACTATAACAACTTCATAATTTCCCTACTTCTACTCTTGAAACGAACTACGACTTTGTGATGATGACCTCGAGAAGAGAAGGGCATGAAGAATGGGTAACATCTGGGAAAGAGCAACTTACTTCCGATGTAGAGCGAACTCTGAAGCTTGCCAATGATTATGCTCTTGGTTCGATACGCTCCGATGGGCATTGGTGCGGGGAGTTGAGGTCCAATGTCACTATCACGGCCGAATACATCTTCCTTCGACACGCTTTGGGTCTAGACTTGAGAGCCGATAATGCGGCTTACTGCAACTATATACTATCACAGCAGAACTGCGATGGCTCATGGGGCTTAGCACCTGAGTATCCAGGCGACGTATCGACCACGACTGAAGCCTACTTAGCACTCAAGTTGCTGGGGGTGAGTCCGCACATGCCGGTCATGCAACAAGCCCGTGCATTTGTTCTCAAAGCGGGCGGTGCTGAAAAAGTTCGCGTTTTTACTCGCATCTTCCTGGCAACTTTCGGATTGTTCCCATGGGATGCAGTGCCCCAGCTGCCCGTGGAGCTAATTCTTCTGCCTTCCAGTTGTCCAATCAACATGTACACTTTAGCGTCCTGGGCCCGAGGAACCATTGCCCCGCTGCTGATTATCTGCCACCATCGGCCCGTGTACGCGCTACCGGACGACTACCTAGATGAGTTATGGCTCAATCCGACGGACAAGAATGTGCCGTATGGCTCCCCGCTCCGGGATCTGCTGTGCCAGGGAGACATTACTGGACTTGCATTTAGTGTCGTGGATAACTTGCTTTACTACCTGAATGGTCTCCGTTCCGTCCCTTTGCTCCGATCATACGCCCGACGAAAATGCCTACAGTGGATCCTCGAGCGCCAGGAGCCCACTGGTGACTGGGCTGGGATCTTTCCTCCGATGCATGCCAGTATTTATGCGTTCGTGCTGGAGGGCTACGAGCTGGATGACCCTCCAGTCCGCCTTGGAATTCAAGCATTGGAAAACTTTGCTTGGGAAGACGAAAAGGGCAAACGAATCCAAGCATGTGTTTCTCCCGTGTGGGACACAGCTCTGATGTCGATCGGGCTCTGCGATGCCATGTCGCCCGATAAGCACGTCCTCCAGCAGGCCATCACTTGGATCCGGTATCGCCAATTGCTGAAGCCCTGCGGGGACTGGCGGATCTACCGCCCTAAGCTAGCCCCCGGAGGGTTTAGCTTCGAGTACGAGAATAGCCACTACCCCGATGTGGACGACACCGCGGCCATCATTCTGGCTCAGCTGAAGCAGGATCCCCAATCTGTCGCTTCGGACTCTGTGATTGCAGCTGCAACATGGATCCTAGGCATGCAGAACCCTGATGGCGGCTGGGCCGCCTTTGATGTTGAGAATGATAAGCTGTTCCTCAACAAAATTCCCTTCAGTGATATGGACAGTTTGTGTGACACCTCCTGTGCCGATATTACTGGGCGGATTCTGGAAGCCTTCGGATTGATGATGAGGCGTGAATCGAAAAGGCCCATCCTTTCTCCAATGTTACGGTATGCATGCACTCGGGGGATCACATACCTTGCATCCACACAAGAGGCCAACGGAGCCTGGTTCGGACGATGGGGGTGTAATTACATCTATGGAACGTCTCATGCACTGTGCGGATTGGCTTACTACATGGAAGATGACAAGCGAGTCAGTGGGCTAGTGGCGCCGGCGCTACAATGGCTAAAATCCAAACAAAATGACGACGGCGGTTGGGGCGAACCGCTACTATCCTACCGAACAACAGGCACTCAGCTGCAGCAGCAATCAACTCCATCACAGACTGCATGGGCGCTAATGGGACTACTGGCCCACCTTCCCCTCACCGACCCTGCTATTGAGCGTGGGATCCGGTGGCTGGTATGTTCACAACGGCCAGAAAAGGGCATTGGAGCTTCCTGGCCCGAAGCGGTCTACACGGGAACAGGATTTCCCAATCATTTCTATCTGGGCTACGACTACTATCGGCATTATTTCCCCATGATGGCCCTTGGGCGCTATTTGCAGGCGAGTCAGGCCCACGCCTGAAGATGCCGCAAGGAGGTGATCGCAGCCACCCGATCGATCACATACGTCTGTTTTTCTGCATAAGACTGTAAAACCATGTAAACAGAGACTTCGTGGCGATATCTGGATGATGAATTCAAGTTTATTGTTTGGCAGCGCTATCTTGAACTGTATTTACTACATCTGAAGTACTTTTAAACTTCGACCATTTACCAGTATGTCCTTGCAGCATGGTAGCAGCGCAACCTTAAACGCCGTAGGAAGTTTCTTTTTTTTTCCACCAGTACTGCCCAGTGCCAACATGTGGCCAAACCTAAGATAAACTTTCATAACCGTAACCTTTCTTCAAGAATAGACTTTATTCAACGCACATGCAGAAACGCTGCAGCGCAACCAAGAATATTGAACATCGGAAAGGGATAATACTCACGGATTGTAACGGATCCTATCAGAGTATCGTCCGTGAATGAGACATACTTGAAAAAAGCGAGACAAGGGCCCAGCCACAGTTACCACCAGTTTGATTTGTTTAATTAATTAGCCGAGCTGACTCGGCATAATGCAGGTGGATATTACTGGTATATACTCGGTAATTGCCCCTTACTCAGTCGACCGGAAACTAGTCCCGGGTGTGATTGATAGGACTTAATTCGATGACAACAAGGAACCTCGAGAGTCGAGACATTCCGCACGAGATACGTAGCACACATGCTGGTTTGTTTGTCTGTCGGGTGGCCCGGGATTTGGCTGAGCAGACTAAAAATTTGGTAGTCGGTCTAGTGGATGTGGATAGTGTATGCAATATGCATGCTACTCCGCTTCCTTGGTCGGGATCACAATGGGGGTCTGTCTATAGTTGGATGGATTTGGTAGGTGCTCCGTAGAATAGGCCAGGGCTGAAGGGCTGAAGGTTAGGGAGTAGTAGGACTGCGACGGCAGGACCAGATTTGACTTCTGAGGCACTTCTTAAAAATCATTGGCTGATGTGTAGGTATGTTGTGAGACATTGTAGATTGGGACGGGCTCTTCAGCGGGCGTGCAAGTATCTCGAGGAGGATCCTGCTCTGCGGGGGCGAGTGGGGCGTGCGGCTGAGGTGCATGATTGTGCTGGATGAAGTTGTCTTTTCGCCACATCATTCTCCCTTCCTTCAAGTGGATCAAGTTAGATCGAATGGATGATTGTGAACAGGACGGAGCTCATTGTTTGCTTCCCCTCCTGTGGAACTCCGAGCATCGCTCCTGCCCTCCTCTCCCATTCCCGGCTAGCATTCGTGACTGCCGTGATGGAAATGAAGATGAAGATGAAAATGACAGGTCGTGCAGAAAAGTAGAGAGACCGGGGATCCTTGACATGCCTCTCTTTCTCTGCAACCCCCTCCCCCTTCTTTCTTTGGCTCTCGCCTTGCACGATATCCAAACATCATGATGGAGTTCTTTCCAAACTTCAGCCGGGCCCGGCCAGCAACTGTGCCCACTGACAAGGTTGTCCCTCTACGGTACTGGGATGACCTGGACTATCTCCGTCGTCTCTGCCATGATTTCACCTTCCGTTTTGACGACGTACTGGACGCCTCCAAGCTCGATGCTGCTCTGGCACGTTTGACGGAGATTGGAGACTGGAACCAATTGGGAGCTCGTCTGCGTCTGAATGTATGGTTATGAAGACCCCTCCATCCATCATACCAGTTCCTGCCCGGATCAGTGAGGCTAACTCTTGCCAACTCAGGATCAAAACCGCCTTGAATACCACATTCCCGCTGAGTATACCAAAGCGCGGCCCGCATACAACTTCACCACCACCGAGTATGGGTTGCGCATCTCCGAGCACGAACTCGGTAAACAGCTACCACAATCAGGCCAAGATCAATCAATTCTTTCGCCTTCGCCCGCTGTCTTCGCTCCTATTGTCCGCCATGCGGATAGTCCTCGTAAGCTGGCTGACTGGATATACACCGACCGGCCACAACTTCATATCCATGTTTCTGTCTTTCAGGACGCGACCCTGGTGACAGTTAGCTATGTTCATACTCTGTTCGATGCTATTGCGAGGTCAACATTTTTCAACGCGTGGATAGCTGTTCTGCGGGGTCGAGAAGACGAAGTACCGCCTTTCATCCCTTTCGAACATGATCCTCTGCGCACACTGGGTACAGAAGCCCCGGTGAAGCCTTATAGTAATTTTGACCGCGCTCTTAGCGGACTTAGCCTTGTGATATTTGGGCTGCGGTATCTATGGGAGCTGTTCTGGTATCAGCAAGAGGAGGAACATCCCATTCGCCTACCAAGACAATGCGTGGAACGGCTGAAGGAATCCGCTCGGAAAGAGCTTGCTGCGATGAGCCCCGATAATGAGGACAAGGCGCCCTTTCTGAGTGAAGGTGATGTCGTTATGGCGTGGTGGGTGAGGACTATTGTCACAGCTCTGAATCCGGCGCCAGATCGAACCATCATGGTCATGAACGTCTTCAACGTATGGGCGCTTTTTGAGGAGTGGTTCCCAACTGGCGGCGCGGGGTTCATTGGTAACGCTTTTTTCTATTCGTACACGCTGCTAGTTGCAGGCCAGGTTATTCAGGATGCTAGCCTCGCATATGTGGCGTCCAAAAACCGTAAAGCCCTCATGGAGCACCGGACAAAGGAACAAGTTCAAGCCATGACATCCATGCAGAGGGCATCGTTCACTCGGACACCACCAGTTGTCGGAGATGCCAATTTGCTATTCATGGCATGCACGAATCAGCACAAGGCCAGGTATTTCGAGCTGGACTTTTCGGCTGCCGTGGTGGCCCCGGGAGTGCCTCTGAGCGAACGGCCACATGCTCTAGGTAGACCGTCGTATATCAACGACATTGAGACTTGTCAGGGTTACCCAACCCGGAACGTAGTCAGGATCATTGGTAAGGATGCTGCGGGTGATTATTGGCTTTTGTTCAAGACTCGACCGGGCGCGTGGGCAGTTATTCATAGACAGTTGGTAGCGTTGCTGAAGCTGGATGAGAAAGAATGATGTATGTCAAGCAGATTAGTTAGTACGAAAAGCTTGAGACCAGTGGGTCTGGATATGGAAAGAACTATGAGAGTGCCGTGACCCACGTAGCAATCGCATCTTAGTCCAATCCATCTTAGTCGATCGCATCTTAGTCCCTATAAATGGACCGGTCGCCCGGAACATTCGCCCATGGTTCAGCCCCTTGGGACAGAGCTACGCATCAGCATGTCCGGCCAGGGGATCCCACTTAAGGTTATCCAGCCCACTGCTGACACAATACAAACGGCAGAGATCATCCGGTCTCAAATCCATATAGAGCGCAGCACCGCCAACATTTTCACCATTTACCGAAGCGCCAACGCATCCCAGCTATGTATGCTGTTCCTATCAGTGTGCTGCGCAATAGGCGCGGGCGCAGCGATGCCTCTAGTAACCGTTGTGTACGGGAACTTTGCACGCGAATTCATCACCGGAGACAACAATGCACCGGATGAGATTCGAGATCGTGTTCAGCGCCTCGCGCTCTACTTGGTGTATATCGGTAGGTAGGTCTGCATAACCCGTTATCTGCCACCATCTGACGCAACAGCGCAGCAATCGGGTCTCTAGTCACAACCGCTATCAGCACGTTTGGCTTCAACCTCATTGGGGAAAAATTATCGCGCCAGCTTCAGCAGAAATACCTCGCTTCGGCTTTGCGGCAGAATATGGCTTATTTCGACGTAGTCGGAATTGGAGAGTTGACGTCTCATATGGATCAGGATATGAAACTGATCCAAGCTGGTATCTCGCAGAAAGTTGGTGAGCTGCTTTCTGGGCTGTCTGGCTTTGTGGTTGCTATTATTTGTGCATTCATCCAGAATGGGCGCTTTGCAGGCATAATTATCTCTCAGCCCATAGCCCTGCTTACACTCATCGGGGTGTTGGGGGGTTCCTTGAGTGTAAGACAGCGAAGGGGTCTGGCTCAGTACGTCAGAGCAGATAATCTGGCCCAGGAAGTGCTCAGCGCTATGAGGAGTGTCATTGCTTATCGGAGCCAGGAAAGGTACAGCAAAAGGTATTACGAGGCGTTGCGACGTCCAGCTGAGTTAGACTTTCGGGAGCGCTTCATTTTTGGGATGCTTGTTGCGGGGTCTTTCATGGTTATGCACTGGGCGAATGGTTTGGGTGTATGTATATCGTCTTTCCTTTCGGTATTTCTGCGACAACCAGATGAGTCCCTGCTGACAACTGCCAAGTTCTGGCAGGCTGATCATCTCCTCCGCCAAGGGCGTTGCACTATTTCGGAAGTTCTGACTATTCTGTATGCAATGGCCGTTGCAGGAGGAATGCTAAGCCAAGCATTGCCATCCATTGTCAACATCACACAGGCCAATGCGGCCGCCAGCCGTGTCTTCTCAGTCATTGAGCGGGAATCGCCCATAGATCCTTCTGTAAGTACCGGGGTGACGCACAGTCAGATCAGAGGGGATATTGTTTTCGAAGACATACGCTTTACGTATCCTTCACGGCCTGAAGGGGAGGTCCTAAAAGGCGTCAATTTCGTTGCGCCTGCCGGGCACACTGTAGCGTTTGTGGGACCATCCGGGTCAGGAAAATCAACCTTATTCGCACTTTTGGAACGACTGTACCATCCACACAGTGGTCGGATTATGCTGGATGGCGAGCCAATTGATACCATGAATGTCTCGTGGCTAAGGTCCCATATTGGGTACGTCGGGCAGGACGTCACTTTGTTCCGTGCATCAATACTTGACAACATCGCATATGGGCTTCCCAAAGCTGCAGCTGAGGTGCTTCACGACTATCTTTTGCCTCTAAGTCTTGAATACTGATTTTGTGATGCAGGGTATGGAGGCAAACGCGATACGAAAGCTCGTAATCGAGGCGGCCAAAGTTGCCCAAATTCACGAGTTTGTCGCGAGTCTGCCCGAGGAGTACAATACCATGATTGGGGCACATGGATCGAATCTCTCAGGGGGCCAGAAACAGCGTATTGCTATTGCCCGCGCAATTGTCTCCCAACCAGCAGTATTACTGTTGGATGAGGCCACGGCTGCGCTCGACAGTCTCTGTGAAAAGGCAGTGCAGGAGGCGCTGGAAAAAGCCGCCTCAGGACGAACTACCATGATAATAGCCCATCGGCTGTCGACAGTCCAGAATGCTGACAAGATCATCGTCATGAAGGAAGGCCAAATTCTTGACCAAGGCTCCCATACAGAGCTGTTGAGTACATCTGCAATGTACCGAGAATTAGTGAGGCATCAGGCACTTGAATCGTCCCAGCGATCAAATGACGACAGGCTTATCAGTCAAAAGCCTCATTCGTTGAGCACTCAGGAAGAACATTTCAAAGATACCTTGATCAATCTCGATATGGTGAATATACCAGAAGACGGTCAGTTAGCAGTACGGTCTTCCAGTAGCAGTGTTAGGCATGTTTGGGGTCTCAATAGACCAGAACTGCCTTACACAGTCGCTGGCGTGAGCGTCAGCGTTTTAGCTGGAATAACATATCCGGTTCAAGCAATCTTCTTCGGTAACGGGATCATGTCAATGATCAATTCTGGCCTCAGTACCGGTGGGCATAATGTTCAATTTTGGGCTTCTATGTATCTTACCCTCGGTATTATCGCATTTGTGGTTTATTCCGTACGGGGATACTGCTTTGCCGTGTCCGCATCACAGTTGGTTCTCCGAGCCCGCTCGCAGTTGTTTAAGCAATTGATTGTGAACGATCTACCCTTCTTCCAGGACAAGGACAATTCGATCGGTGCATTGGTCAGCTTCCTTGCATCTGGACCTCGGCAAGTGACTGGTATTTCGGGAACATCACTGGGGCTTGTGGCTGAAAGCATTGTGATGCTCGCGACCGGAATTACCATCGGATGTATCTTTGGGTGGAAGCTTGGTCTTGCTGCGACAGCAACGGTCCCATTAGTAGTTTTTTCCAGCTTCATGCAATACCATACTGTGGCGCAGGTACAAAAGCACATCACGCGTGATACTGGTGCTGTCGCCATTGCACATGAAGCCCTATCTGCCATCAAGACTGTAACAGTCCTTGGTCTGCAAAAGACCATCAGCGCATCGTTCGAAAATGAAAGCCATCGAGACAGCCAAAGCAATTACTGGCTCATGTTTGCCGCGACATATGCGTGCACCACTTCCCTCCGCGTGATGAGCATCGCTTTCGTTTTCTGGTACGGCGGTACACACCTAATCGCGACTGGCGAATACAATGTCCAGCAGTTCTTCATCTGCTTTGCAGCTACAATGTGGGGATCACAGTCTGCGTCCGTGCTATTCGCCCATGCTCCTGACATCGTAGGCTCTGAAGCTGCTGCTGCTCGACTGGAGAAGCTGATGCAAGCCGGAATATCGTCAGCCGCCCACAGAAAACTGAATAATGGCAACGCTAACGTGCCAAGTATCACCGCAAACGTTTCGCTGCGATGCGTCAACTTCAGATATCCAAGCCATCAATCTCGGATAGCCTTGAACGACGTCAGTCTCGATGTGCCAGCGGGTGCCTTTATTGCTCTTGTTGGTGCTACAGGCAGCGGGAAGAGTTCAGTGATAAATTTGCTGGAGCGCTTCTATGCCAGCGAATCTGGCGCAATAGCACTAGATGATATGTCCATTGAACAATATGACCTCGACAGTTACCGAGGGTATCTAGCACTGGTCGACCAAAACCCTTGTCCGATTGGTGAAGACCTGCGCGACTGCCTGCAGAGTGGTGAGCTGGTTGTATCAGACGCCGAGATTTTAGCCGCTCTAAAGGACGTTGGGTTAGCCGATTTTGTGGTAGGCGCTTTCAATCTTCCTATCCCCTGTTACAGATCCTGACTGTTTTTGTTCTTGTGTCAGCTGTCACTTCCTCAAGGTTTAAGCACCCCCCATCATGGCGAACGGATCGACCCTGTCTGGGGGGCAGCGCCAGCGCATGGCCATCGCGAAGGCGCTTCTATGTCGACCAAAGATTCTGTAAGCGCCCATTGTTATAGAAAGCGCTTGATCAGTGAGTTTTGACATTTCTCAGTCTACTTGATGAGGCAACCTCTGCCCTGGACTCCGCCTCAGAGGAACTAGTCCAGAGGACAATTCAGCGTGTGATGAAAGGGCGAACGGTCATCGCTATTGCCCATCGACTAAAGACGATTGTCGATGCTGATGAGATCTTAGTATTCAAGCATGGACAGATTGTAGAAAGAGGTAGCCACGGGAAGTTGATGCAACTTGAGGGTGAATATTGGCAGATGGCCAGGTTACAGTCACTGATGGGGGAAGAATGAACTGGAAGTTGAGAGTGTATATGCCTGCTTTGCATATAGTTCGGCTATGCAGTAATGAATGAACATAAAACATTGGTAAGCGGGTAATTTTATGAAATTCCCGAACCAAGAAATCCAAGACCCTGAGCATTATCATGTGACCCAACAGTAGGCTTGGCATATCCGAAAACAGACTAGTCAAGTGACCGGCATGGAAGGTCTGATCCCCTCCCAAAACAATCCATGCAAAACGAGTACGAGCGGAATCACCGGATGCCACCAATTACTCCCACCCCTTGGCAGACAGACCTGTCCAACTATTAGATGCTCCTTGGCATATTTCTTGTAAACGAGTCTCAGCATCCAAATTAGTTGACTACCTGATAGGTCGGTCAAATTAGAAGTGGTGAACACTCCGCTCCTTCCTCTCCCCTTGTAGATAGGCAACAACCAATACCTGCACGGAAGAAATTGATAGCTCCGAGATTGGCAGGGTCCTGTTCCCTTCCGCTCAGATGCGTCGGAGAGAATGAGCAAATTGGTAGTGCTTGGGTTCGGCCATCAAGACTAAAGTAGCATTTCTGTGGGGACGACTAGTCAGAAAGTCCAGGGGGGGGGGGGGGGTTAACCTAACCTGATGGTGGAAAGCAACCTTGGTTCTTCCGAATAAGGGGCAGTTCGTTACGGTATTGGGAGTTAGGGGTGGGTGTATGGATGTTGTACGATGGTGGTATGTACTACTTACCACTGACCATCAACTTTTGTAAACTCTCTGGAAGCAACCCGACTGTTTCAGGAGCGCGATAAGATTCTGACATATACCCCGGTAGCGGAGTCTAGTACTTATTCCATCTCTTGGAGAGATTTTGATTTGGGAGCGGATAAAGGTTAGAAGTTGGAGGGAGATATACTCGTAAGCATGTATATAGAAGGACCTGACTCGAGTCAGTGCAAGGATGGTTAGCCTCGATGGTTGTGTATCCAGTAGTTGTTTGGTCGATACTGCAGGGCGTACTTGTAGGGCATTTGTCTGCCCTACGAGGTGCATGATGTATCGATCTCGCTAGACATTATTAATATGTCTCTTGGCCTCATAGCAGGAGCGGAATCCTATGTATGATTCGTGCCAACACAGTCCCCCCTTGTGCTTTAGGGGGGTTTCAACACTGCAGGTCATCGTCTGAGAACCAGCCGTCCGACCTCCGAGTTGCCCTGCTTGCAGTGAAGGGAGGGACACGGACACTAAAACACAATGGAGGAGATTTTCAAGATGGTGTCACCGTGGCACGGATAATTAGCCAAAGCCATCCTGCATCTGTGCTGTGCTGACTAGACACAATGGACATTACGACCAGGGAGACGAGAGGTGCGTGTAGCCCTATGAATCAGTTGGCTGCTTTGCTGATGCTGGTTGGTGATACGGTAAGCGGATGGTACGGAAGGCGTTCCCGTATGTAAGCCGTAACATCCCTGGGAGGAAGATAAGTGGGGAGGGAGGGAGGAAAAAAAACAGAGCCAAAGACACGTCGGGAAAGATGGCACGCGAGACCCGATTCTTTTTTCTCTTTCTGCCCTGAATTCGGCCAAAATCAATCAATCAATTATGGAGCGCCGTCTCCTTTCGGTGGATTCTTTAATGGTTGCCTAGGAACTATTACTCTCGTGATTCCGAAGAGAGGAGACCATCCATCCTGACGCTTTTCCTACCAAGTATCGCAAGTAGCTTCTCTCTTTGTCCTCATGGGAATGGAGCATTGGCATGCCAGGCGTTCTCAGAGCAGCCAACTAGCTCCCTGTCGTCATGGCTGTTATCCTTGCCGATCCGGACCTGCAGAGCGTCATCCACGGAAAGGGTCCAAGGCCTATTCCCAACGCGCCAATGTAATATTCTATCTAATGAGGGTCCTCCAGTGGATCTCCCAAATGTCGCCCCGCTTGGCTGGTTGAAGTCACCCCGTTCGTACGGAGTCGTATTTGATTCTATTCTTCCTCGGCCTTAACCAAATCTCCCTCTTCCCCCCCCAAAGGTGCAAAGCTTTTTTCCCGTCGTGTTGAACTGTACGGATTCGTCGGATCTTCCGGTTTGATTTGCGGGCTCGTGTGGTTCTCGAAGCCTGTCTAGTCGGACTATCAAGAACCGTTCCCCGTGCTTTTCTCTCCTGATCTTCCTTTCCCTTTCCCTTGTATCTTTCCCCCCCTCAGTCTATCTTCTCCCCCTGTCTTGTCCATGCCTGATTGGCGTGTCGAGTCGGGCTGGCACTTACTTGGCTGCTCTCATTGTTAGCACCGGTGGCCTTCTTTTCTCTCGTCCGATGCACCACGCGATTTGAATGGTTCGACGTATGCGGCTATAACGCATTCGAGCAACGACTTGGCAGCCCTGTCCTGATCCCCCGCATCGACCGAATCACTGCTCATACTCACCCAACCACCGCCTACTTGGTCCAGAATGCAAGCAGGGGCATGATTGACCTCTCGAACTATTCAACAACCCTTTTCAAACATACAACGTTGACCTCTGCCGCCGGACATGAACCCTCGGGGCCTGCTGGCCGTCCTCACCTGCGCGATCTGGTCAGCGGTGGCCACAGCACGCCCCAGCCCCGCAGAGCAGAGCAATCACGGCAGTTTCATCAACCGCAATGACCCAGACCCGCTGTGGCAGAAGTACGGGCTGAACAAGTCAGACGAGTTTAAATATTTCCATGAGCCCGGTCGTGATGATACCCTGGGCCACTATGACTCGCGGTTCTTCCAGGGGGAGCCGGTTCCGGACGCGGAGCGATCTATCACATTGACACATATGATCCGAGCATATCTGAACTTCTTCGAGGATAATGGACTGGAAACATGGATTGCGCATGGAACATTGCTGGGATGGTGGTGGAATGGCAAGGTGGGCGATTCCTGATGCACCAGACATGGTTAGCTTGGGCCGGTCTAACCCTCTTTCTTTTTAGATCATGCCCTGGGACTGGGACATCGACACTCAAGTCATGGATACCACATTATTCCATCTCGCCGACCACTTCAACCAGACTGTTGTACAGTATACCACTACCGACCCCGACGTCGAGCGCCGGTACCTCCTGGATATAAACCCGTGGGCGCGTCAACGTGATCGCGGCATGGGACTGAATATAATCGATGCGCGCTGGATCGACATCACCACGGGGCTATACATCGATATCACAGGGCTGAGTCGACTGACGGCCGAGAAGCCCACAGAATGGGAGTGCAAAAATGGGCACAAATATCAGACACACGATATATACCCACTGCGGAGATCGACGTTTGAGGGCGTGCCAGCCAAGGTGCCCTTTAGGTACGATGGAGTGCTAACAGAGGAGTATACAAAGAAAGCGTTGACCCAAACGCAATTTCACAAGTGAGTGAGATCGCTTTAGCCGAGAGATGCCTCATACTGACATGTGATAGTCATACGTGGGATCCGGAACTCGAAGAGTGGGTGCTGGATGTGCCGGCCACAATGGACGACCGGCAGTATGAGTGAGCCAGCCATTTTGGCTGCATAGTTTTCTTATTATCGACTGTCATAAGTGCATCATCGGATGGTGTCATGGTCATTCTTGGTATATAATCATATAAGGATCGGAGTTCAGGGTACAGGCGGCGTTGTGGACAGTCAGCGTTCTGCAGAGTCAATCTAGTGGTCATACAATCTTTCTGCAACATTTCGCACGAGCTAAATCAGGCGTAGTACAATAGTAACAGAGTATGACCCGCGGGGTGATCAATCCCAAACAGCATCTCTCAACGCCAAACAAACGCGGACCAGCCGAAATTAAGCAGCGACGATCTGCTCGCTACCTGAGGCACCAGTACCAGGGGCCCTGCCATTACATACCAGTAAAAAATAGTGAAACCATACTAACCTTAATCGACTAGACCTTATCACTTATCACCACGTGACACAACAAACCACGCTTACCTTATCGCCTTATCGCTGACAAAACAAGATCGAACTGCATCGAAGATCATCACCACTTCTTTCTCTCTGTATATAACTCACCTTCCTCCCCCATAAACCCCCCTCATTTCACGCGCCACCCTCACACATCCACCAGCGACCATGACCGACTCCGAAACCCCAACAGGGGACACCCTAACCCTGCAAATCCACCACCGCAACGCCTCCCACCCCCTCACCCTCCCAACAACCAGCACCCTCACAGACCTAACAGAACTCATCTCCTCAACATTGCAAATCCCTCCAACCCACCAAAAGCTCCTCATCTCCCCCTCTCCAGGAATGCTCAAACACCCATTCCAACCAACACCCCTACAAGACCTCCTCCCCCTCACCTCCCCCAAATTCAAACTCACCCTACTGGGCACACCCCCACGAGACATCGAATCGCTCAACACGCACGGCACCGAACTAAAAGCCCGCGCTGAAGCCCGCGATCGCGCGCACCGCCTCTACGCCGCAAAACCCACTCCCTCCAGCACCTCCTCCAACGTCAGCAAAATTCACACTCTCTCTAACAGCGCCAACGGCAGCGGCTCCTACACTTTCCACCGATGTGTTCCGCTCTCGCATCTTCCTAACCCTTCTAAATCATTGACGTTCCTTGAGCGCCTCCGCGACGACCCCGGGATTAAGTCTGCGATGCAGAAGCATAAGTTCTCTGTGCCGCTGTTGACGGAGATGGATCCCGCTGAGCATACGACGAGCGAGTCGAGAACGTTGGGGTTGAATCGGAATAAGGGCGAGGTTATTGAGTTGAGGTTGAGGACGGATGCGTATGATGGGTATAGGGATTATCGTACGATACGGAAGACGCTGTGTCATGAGTTGGCGCATTGTGTGTTTAGTGAGCATGATCGCGATTTCTGGGATTTGACGAGCCAGATTGAGAAGGAGGTTGAGAGGGGGGATTGGACGAAGAGTGGCAGGACCGTTGGGGAGCAGGATTTCTATAATCCTGGGGATTGGGAAGGGGTCAGGGAGCATGGGTTGGTGGTTGATGAGAAGGGGTGGACTGGAGGGCAGTTTGTGCTTGGTGGGGGTGGTGGGGGTGGTGGTGGAAGGGGAGAGAGTCGGAGGGAGGTTTTGGCTAAAGCGGCGGAGGAGAGGATGAAGAGGGCGAGGGAGAGAGAAGGGGAGGGGAGGTCTTGAGTAATGGTGGTTCAAGTGGTTTTTGTATAGTTTTTGATTCTGCGTAGCATCTTGGTAGATACTCCTTTCCGACACCAGCATTTAATGACATGAAATGACATGACATGATACCATATTTTGGACATCTACAACTGCTCGTTCACGAACAGACCTGCCATACCCTGACCCGTGCCAATGCACATACTTGTCACCAGGACCTTCTTCTTCGTCCGTCGCGCCTCACTGAGGATCGTACAGATCTGGCGTGCGCCCGTTGCGCCCAGCGGGTGGCCGAGGGCGATGGCACCACCGCGGGGGTTCACCTTGGCGTGCTCCAGACCCAGGTTGTTGAGACAGTAGACAGCCATGGAAGCAAAAGCCTCGTTAATCTCGTAAATGTCGATGTCATCCTTGTTCAAGTTGAACTGGGACAGCAGCTTGGGGATAGCTGCAGTGGGACCAATACCCATGATCCGGGGCGGCACTCCCGCGACGGTGGCACCGCAGAACTTGGCCAGGATGGGCTGGTTCAGCTCAATAGCCTTGGAGCGGCGCATGAGAAGAACAGCGGCGGCTGGACACACATCATCATCAGTATAATCCTCGTAACAAACAACCATCACAAAGATTACTTACCACCATCCGTAACCTGACTCGAGTTACCTCCCGTGCTCCGGTTACCGAACTGCGGGAAAGCAGGACGGATCTTGCCCAAAGACTCCGGCGTCGTACCATAGCGAATACCCTCATCCTTGGTCAACGTAACCTGCTTCACCTCCCCAGTCTTCGGGTCCTTGACCTTTGTGGTGATGGGGACAATCTCGTCATCGAACCAGCCCGCCTTCTGAGCTTCCTCCGCCCGACGGAACGATTCCGCAGCATATTTATCCTGCTGTTCGCGCGTGATGTTGAAGTCTGCACCAACGTTCTCCGACGTCTGTCCCATAGGCTGCATGCAGTCCGCCGCTTCCTGGTTGCGAAGGACCTCCTCGTTGAACGGGCGCGGCAGCCGGTCACCACCAGCGGACATCAGCTCCGCACCAACAGCGATACCCACATCAATGGCACCGAGTTGGATCTGGTTCGCGATGTCCTGTACGGCCTTCAGACCAGACGAGCAGAAGCGGTTCACGGAGGATCCACCGGCTGTGTGAGGGATGCCGGCTGCGAGGGAGGCAGCGCGGACGAGGTAGGCTGCTTTGCCGTCGCCGACCTACATTCGTAGTATAAGAGTTAGTAATCCGGTTTCTATAGACAGGACAAGTTGGCGCTCACATTTCCCAGACACACATCCTCAACCAGAGCGGGGTCGATCTTAGATTTAGAGAGCACTTCCTTCAACAGTGCATAAAGGATATAGTCCAGTTCTGTGTCCTTGAATCCACCTTTGACAGCCTTTGCGAGGGGCGTGCGCAGCGCGAGAGTGATGACCACATCGTCTGGATTCTTCTGGGTGCTGGGGGTGCTGATTAGTGGTGTTTGTTTGCCGGAAACGGTCTGGAGCTTACATTGCGGCGAGTCCGCTGTTACCCGATGGCTTCAGGTGACTGAGGATAGAGTTTAGACGATCTGCTGCCATGGTGTTCTGTGTAGCTGTTGAAAGATTCAGGGGTCAGTTTCTGGAAGGTCGACTGGTTGGGGGGGAGCTGATAGCATGAAAGCGGAGATGAGTTTGTCAGGCGCAATCTGGTATACCAGAGCAAGGTGCGGCTGTTCAACAAGTCGATGAGTATATACGTACCTGTGAGAAGATAGATAATGCTAAAAGATCAAGAAGGATTAGAAGAAAGCGGAGCAGAAGAGGGGAGAGGGAGAATGATATAATGAAGGGAGTAAATGCGGTGGTTCTCCAATCCAGCCGAACAGCCGAGGTTCTTTCCCCTCTAGGACGGCCGATCGGCACTAACAGTACTTTGCCTCTCAGCCATTTTATGAGGAGTGGGAAGTATCTCCGATGTGCCCCAACCTCGGCGACGATGATCACCGTTACATCTTAATCCCAATAGATCAAAGCTACCGTGTTTCTAACAAAAAGCAATATATGTACAGGTGGCCATTTGCCACATTGCGCCCAAATAAGCAAAACCAGTCCAAGCAAACTCAACACCCTATCGCCTGCCCATGATCATACGTCCAGCAAAAGTTCCTTTAATATCAGTCAACCAATCCCATACCTACAAATGATGATGCTGCTCGTCGTTGCTAATAACGCTGCCAATCTCGGACCAGCTAGCCGGAGTAGCTGCACCGGAGCGCTCAAAGTCGCTTAGCGTGCCTTCAGACCCATCCCCTGCAGACTCATAGATTTGGCTGAAGCTACCGGCAGTAGACGGTGTAGATGGGCGCTCAACGTGAAGACCCTCGGAGTGTAGGTCGGATAGGTCTGAAAACGGAGACCTCAGGTCCCGCCCAGTGCCATTGACAGCTTGATCCTCCGGATGAGCATAGATAACCTGAGAATAATCTTCGGTGTGGCTAGATGCAGGTGTGTCGGGACGATGGTAGCTATCCGATCCTACAAGGTGTTCGTCCTCACCAAACTGGGAATGGAATGAGGTCGCAAGCCTTTCCGGTGCTTCCGACGTTGGTGTGAACTCAACAAGCGACGGGGTATGAGAGCCAGGGGACGGAATTGCAATCTGTAGGCGACTCCCGATGTTGTTTGAGCCATCGATTTCAGCCATAGGAGTGGACGTTCCAGTCTGCTTGCCGCGTTGAACAGGCTGCGACGTCGTTACTTCCACCGCCGTCGAGTTCGCCATTGAATCATTCACCGGAGGCTCTGGACTATCCAAAAGCCGGCCACTATCATCCACCAGAGCGTCAAAGCTGCTTGCTGGGGCTCCGTCTCTAGTCTTGCGACGGGCTTCGAGCACGCTGCGTCGCCGCTGAAGCTCTTCCACCGCTAACCGCCGTCGCTCCTCAGCCGCAGCGCCCACCTCTTCCGTCATCGAGATATCCTGCCGTAGAGCGGCTGCGTCTTGTGGATGGATCTCATCGCCGAGATGGTGGAGCGCCAGGGCGATCTTCCGTCGTGAGGTATTAACCCATTGTCGGAACTGGGGCGATTCGTAAACCGCGATACCTGCAGCGACAAGCGCCGACACGGTGATGATAATGCCTGAAAGGTCAGTACCACCGCTTCCGAGCTGAAAGCACTTGCGTAGAATAGCCCTTTCACATGCGAAAAGAAAGAAACTACAATGAAATCATCGCACAGACGATGCGGATCGAGCCGGGCTCGAGCAGCTCATAGATCATGATCAATTTCCTGATAAGCACACCGCCCGGGTAATACAACAGAAGCAAGGCTGTTTAAGCATTAAGGAAACAATGAAAGGACCCTTTAAAGCAAGCATACCTTTGGCAACCGGCGTAGGCATGGCGAAACA